AAAAAAAAAGTTTGAGCTCCATAGTTCTAGAGAACCAGGAAATGAACCAGCAAGGGAATCCAAGATGACCTTGTTTTTTCGTGTTCCCAAGGCGGGACAAGAATGACAGCAATTTAGTTTCCAGAGGAGGAAATGGAAGCTCAGAGAGATTTCGATTCAAAGGAACCTCAAAAGTAGTGCAGTTGGTTGGCAAAGGAAACAAGGCCACAGCTCCAGTGAACTGGCCTTCTGTCTGGCATGACTTCTGCCTGGGCCCAACCAATAGGAATGTGGGCCATTTGGGAAGTCCCGCCTTCTCCTAGCCCCACTGTGGGAAGAGTCTTTCAGCAGAGCAGCCTGGGGCTACCTTATCTGTGGTTGGGTGGAGGTTTGATCTGGGTGGGAATGGGATGGGGTGGCACGCCTGTGTGTCCTCAGAGCCTCCCCTCCGCATCTGCCAGCCAGCTTTATCAGTCACGCAACAGGTGTTTGACTGCCATCTGTCTGACTCCTGGATGGACTTTCAATTGGGAGCTGGGGACAGCACTGGGTCAGGGTAACTACTTTATGTAGTCAATGGCTGGTTTAAGTTGCTTTTGAGAAAATGTTGCTGGGTGTTAAAAAAAAAAAAAAGGAAGAAAAAAAAATGTGTTTAAAAAAGCCTGCTCTTGTTTGAGTGTTTTGAGCTGGTGGTAGAATTTTAAGGGGAGACCTGCCTCTGCCAGCTCACCCTCTTTCCCAAACCAAGACTCCTCGTGATGAAGTTGTTATTGCCCTTTAATGTCCCCCCACCCCCACCCCCCAGTCTTGGCAAGAGCCCTTCATTCAAGGCTGCCCTGCCCTGGGAGTCATGGGCCTCAGAAGGGGAAGGTATTTCTCACACAGAGAGTTTCAGGTGCACAGCAGGGGACAGAGCTCGGGCCTGGGTAGGGAGGGGCTTGACCAGCTGTCAATCATCCGATCCATGCGTGGTCAGTGCAGGCTGAGGAGGGCATGGTGGAAATGCCCAAGCTCGCGTGGTGAGAGAGGAGGCAGGAGGCCCTTTGCCTTGCCTTCACCTCTCTCTCCTGACCTCGCGCTCCCACCTTCCTCTGGTCCCAGCTTCCCACTGTGAATGGGGTTGTCCACTTTTAGGGAGTCATTTCTTTGGCTAAGCCCTGCGGGCTGAGGCAGCTTGAAGTGGCACTTTTGGGGAGAGGGAACCCAAAGACCCACCCTTTGGTGCTGTATGACATACAATGGGTTTCCAAGCACGGATGATGCCTTTCTCTGCTTCCAGCTGTGCCACTTACTGCCTGTGGGCCCCGAAGAGCAAGTCTCTTAGTCTCTCTGAGCCTTGGTTTCCTCATCCACAGCATGGGGACAAAAATAGGACCAGCTGTATAGAGATGGTGTGAGGATGAGATGAAATATCTATGTAACGGACTGAGCACGGTGGCTTCCTGGCCCATGTTCAGTGCTCAGAGCTGGTGCTCCCGGTTGTAGCATGGCTGGGCCTGGGGCAGGTGTGGGCAGGACTGACGCCTGCCGGGAGCTTTCCCAGCAGGAGGAATCCCTGCCCAGGACGCTTGGAGAACCAGCTCATTGGGCTCACACTTCTCTTTTCCACTTGAGACCCTTGTATTCTCAAAGT